TAAGTAAGTAAGTAAGTATAAGTAATAAGTATAAGTAATAAGTATAAGTAAGTAAGTTAGTAAGTTAGTAAGTAAGTAAAATTTATTTCTAGCTGAATCCTTTTGGGTTTTTGGGTAGGTATAAGTAATAAATATAAGTAAGTTAGTTAGTAAGTTAATAAGTAAGTAAGTAAAATTTATTTCTAGCGGAATCCTTTTGGGGTTCAACTAACCCTCAAGTATTTCTGAAACTTAACCAAAAATTTCTTATTCAAAATTTTAATTTAATTATATTATTTTACTATGCTGATCTCACATAAAAGCACATAATTTTCAAAACTAAATGAATTAAATGAAAATAATTTGTCTGCAAGGAAACAGCAAAGACTTCCTTATTAGTTTTTGTTGATTTAATATGACTTTTAAATAATTTTATTTAAAGTACTAATAAATTCCGAAGACGGAAGTACTGCTTCTTCTTCTTATTCTGCTTGTTATTTGTCATAAATTTGCTTTTAACTAAGCGTTGCCGCCCTAAATTTTCGTGGAATTTGTCAAAGCTCATTCATGCTTCAACACACCGGCCTACAAATTGTTTAATGAATTTTATCGGTCAAATACTTTGTAAAACGTACATTTAGGTTCGTTACATTTATCTTACCATTTATCATATTTGTTAAAACAAATTAAAAATACAAGTAAAACCAAAAAAAAAAAAAAACCAAAAACAAAATTAATAAATTAAATAACAAGAATATTCTTATCAACATTGAGAAATAATAACAAAACAACTATGCCAGGCCGTCGCTTAAGTACCGCGTTTGGCGCTGCAAATTTAGTACAAATTATTTTATTTAATTTAATGTTTTTTTTATTTTTAATTTTTTAATTTTAATTTTTTTGTATTATAATTTTATTTTAATTTTATTGCTCAATGCAAGAGCGGAGTGAAGATATTTTTACATTTCGCATGCGAACTCATATTTATTTGTGCATTATTTGTATTTTTAAATCTTAATCGTTGCTGTGCACTTTAGCCGTAGAAATTTTAATTTCCTCGTAGATTAAAGTACTCGTAATTCTTTGTAGACGTCCATAACGTCGCTGAAGTCTGCAAATGTCGTCAAGAACGATTTGTAGCTGCTCCAGTTTTTTGAATTGCGATTGCAATT